GCTCCCAAGCAACCCACTCACCCACCCAGGCCCCCCATGAAACCCTTCATCCTCACCAAGGATGCTGTGCAGGTGAGCTGGTTTGTTGTTGACTGATTCAGGTACATGCAGTCACACAGGTGCACATGCAGCTGGACTCTCTTAATCAGCCTTTATTGTAATTTCCTAAAGTGGTCTGCTCGTTAGTCACCTGTGATGCGTCACACAGTTCAGTGATGTTCGGGGTCTGTGGAGGTCAGTCCATGTCTCACACTGTTGTAACCGTGTCAGTGGAATACGGCTCTTTTTCCCAGTAATGACCCAACACTGATCAAAGCTCCAACACGCACAAACATTTGACCACACAACATGTAATGAACTGGCACAAATGTCTTTGATAGGCTGCTTAGTGATGGTGTTCGTGAGAACGCCGTGAGAATCAATAAGTAATATTGATAATGGAATCTGAATCACTGAATTCTTATCAGTTCCCGACTCCATGTGACTGTAACCCTCTGACACGTCTCAGGGTTTCATCTGCCCCCTGCTCATGTTTCATTGCTGCGCTGTTGTTTCAGCCACTACACTGATTATTGATTATTGATTGTTGATTATTGATGAGCAGTAATCAATAATCAAAAGAGTTCAGAACGGTCATTTTTCATTGGCCTGTGGAACTTTATGTTAATGCAGTTTTATTAATATAATGCAGTGCTCCCTCGCTACAACACGCTTCACCTGTGTGTGTGCAATTTTGCATGTTTTTTTTTTTTGTTTTTAAACGGCGTATTGTGTCCTGCGTCCTGATTGGCTACGTTCAGCTCGTCACATTTACATAAATCTTCGATCCCAGCAGTGTGACTCTGAAGCGCTGGACTGTATGTTTGTACGTTTTCTCCCCAACAAACAACAATGTCGATGAAACGTCGTCACCTGCAGGTTCCTTTGGTTTCATTCTGTAATACTGGACTTATTTTGAACTTTGAGAGTTTAAACGAGAGAAAAGTGTGAGAATGTTCATGTCTGTCTGAGAAAAGAGTAGAAAGTGTGCAGTGAGGGCTTTACAGCCTTAAAACATCTATAGTAATTGTAAAAAGTAAAGTTGGCTACTTCGCAGATTTCACTTATCGCGGGTTATTTTTAGAACGTAACTCCCGCGATAAGCGAGGGGCCGCTGTGTTTCATTTCACTAATGTTACAAATCCTTGAAGACAGGCTGGTAGACCTCAGCCTGCTCTGTGGAGGAATCACAGCAACAAGGTGGGACGGCTGCTACCTAATTTAAACACGGTATCAAACTACAATAACAGTTCATCTGAAGCTTTACTGTAAAAGTTTGAATTCTGCCTTCTGTTTGGATCAGGCGAGTCACGGTGCAGTTATGTCACAGGTCTGTCAGTATGTGGGACTGAATCTTCAGCCCTGCTGAGGATCCATGCAGGCATGGATACTTCTTTATTTTGATGGACACACCATGCAGCCAATTACACGCAAAGACTGGGATCATACCATTAGTGAAAGAAGGAAGGGGGGCAGACATTGTGAAGACAGCAGGTGTAGTGGTGCAGGCCAGGCGGACAGAGAGTGAAGACAAAATGAGCAGCACCAGCTGCATTTCAGTGATGCTGCCAAGCTGAGTGCAGAATGTATGAAATTAGGAGCTGAAATGATCCCGTTTTTATTTTTGAGCCATTTTTTTATTGTGGAGGACAAAAAGGTTTCAAACGTAAACCTCACCTGTGTTCTCCCCAGTGGAAGGAAATCTATAAAGATGAGGCTTTTATGGAAACACTGAATAAAAACGTGCTTCCTTGAAAAAGACTAAAGTTACAGTTCAGTGTTGAATATTCCATCAAACAGAAATGTGTGCATGTACTACACAGACTCAGTGGCGCAGTCTCACAGGTCTGAGTGTGCTTGAACTTAGTTATCATTCCTGTGGTGCTGATCACCACAAACAAGCAGAAAGTTTCAGAGCGTTTCCTACTGATAAAAACCACTCACACTACACAAAGTCATGAAGCTTTAGACGATTAAATGACATAAAAGTCTGGGTGGTTTTCTATAGAAAGTTGTTTTTTACAGCTACAGTTAAAAAAAACAG